AGTAAAATGCATCCGTATATTTATCTGACACTCTCAGCCACACAGTGATTGAATGCGCTCGTTTCAATTAACGGACCGCATAATCATCTGCCTCATTAAAGCTAGGAAAGGCACAACAGATTTAATTAATCATTAGACATCATTAAACGAAAGGATTTGGATGAAATTAAATCTGTTCTGGGTAAATAAGACTTTGAAGGTTTTCACATGCCACGGATGAGTCCGTATATAATGTAGAGTGGAGATAACATGACATAAATAACTCATTTACATATTAATTATTCATGACAGCCATTTTGCATGTAAATTTTCACTGTGTTCCGCATATAACATGTGCGTTATGCTTTATAAATGAGGATATTTGTTTGCCCCTGAAGGTTATGTGCACAGGCATTGCTGATTGTCGTTGCACCCTATAGATGATTTCATGCGCCGAACCCAAGCGTGCATCTAGAGAGAGAGCGTTACTCAGTGGAGCTGACCTACATAAGCTACAGTCCTTACAGGAAGAGGAGACTCATCCATATACACGCACACTTGCACACCAGCAGAATTCCTACTATTTCCTGTACTGAATTTAGGCTATTATCAAGTCCTAGGTTTTTTTTCTGATCAGAATTGTCACGTTCAAGTTTTTTTGTCACATTTGTCCTGGTTTTTCTGGCCTGCAATGCTAATCTTCGTCTCACCGACGTGCCATAAAATTGTTAACCTGCTTATTGAATGACATTGAGTGACTTTGATTGCTTTGTCAGTTCATTTTCCCTCTGTATTAATGTAAAATTGAAAAGTGGGATAACGTTTCCAGGACTATACTCTTAAAAATAAAGGTTCTTTATTGGCATCGATGGTTCCATGAAGAACCTTTAACATCCATGGAACCTTTCCATTGCACAAAAGTTTCTTTTTAGAGGAAGAAGGTTCTCAGGGTTTCTGCAGGTCTTAAAAAAGGTCTTTACAGTTTGTGTTTTCACAAATTAAGGCCTTAAAAGGTCTTAAATCGGAGCAGAAGGTCTTAAATTCATAAAGTCATGGCATTAAATCTTACATGCACTGTAAATCTTCCTCAGGGTTTTTGTTTTGATTTCCAATTCAAATATCTAAACATCCTTAAATCAAGATACATTTACTTGAGATGCAAACTGAACATATGATGTCTTGTTTTCTGAGAAATGGAAGGAATTTTAATAAGTTTATGCTTAAAACAAGAACAAATGTCTGTCAATAACTATCAAGTTTCCATCATCCTGTTTTTTTATGCACATTTTGAAGTATCGCATCAGATTCTCCAAATTTCGGAATTTCTTTTTTGACTTGTGCGAAAAGAGTTAATGCGAATAATGAGAGATGGAAACGCATTTGCCAAATAAATTGATCCATGATGCACATCAAAAAAGTCATGTGATTTTGCATGAATGGATGGGATAACTTGACTAACCAGTAGACCGATCTCGTGTGTTTCGTCTGCTCACTCTGAGGCGCAAGTAATTTATTATTCAGTGGCTTCTCCGACTTTTAGTGATATTTCGTGCTAGTTTATCAGGAAGTGATGCTTTTGTTCTTTTTGACTTGTTGGATGGAAACCGTGCTTTATTCACAAATGTTTTATGCAATATTCCAATTTTGCGCACAAGTTAAATTCACAAATTTGGATGGAAACATAGCTATTGGGGTATTAATTTGTTTTCTCTTTGAATTAAGTAGATTTTTCTGAGCCCAGTGGCAGATGTTTGTTTTTGTTTTAACCACAAACTCACTTCATTTTGATCAATTTCTCATAAAACTTATGACATTTTGCTTCTCAAGTAATTGGTTAATTTAAAAACCTTTGAACATTTGCACTGGAAAAAAGACACAAATACAGAGGATGAACATCACTTTTTCTGCAGTCTGTTTTTCTGCAGAAGGTACAGTAAAAGTTATTTCAATATACTGTATTATTTTGTAAAAGTAATGGAGATCTGTTGGAAATTATATTTTTAAACTTTGAAGTGCACTTAAGTACATTTAGAGACCATATTGACTTATTGTGTTCCATTCAATTTATTCCTTTCTTTTCTTTACCTGGTCATAAAAAGGTCTTGAATTTACTTTAATAAAACCTGCAGAAACCCTGGTTCTTCAAATTATTAAAATGTATTTTTGACACTAAAAAAAAGACCTGTTCCGAAAAAATGTTCTCTTAAAGGTTCTTTGGGGAACCTAAAATGCATCTTCAGTGGCATTTCTGCAAAAAACTAATTTTGGAACCTTTATTTTTAAGAGTGTAGCTGGAGAATAGAGCTGACCTGAAGTGAAGATGGAAGGCCTAGCATTACGCATCTTCTTTGCTACAGCTGTCAGGTTTTCCTTATACCTTTTGGTAACAGCTCTGACATAAACACAGAGATTCCATCAGCGGAATATGGGAATCAGCAGGCTTCTGAATGTTTCAATCTCAGGCGAAAGGAACCTCTGACGGAACAAACCGGTTGGCCAGCTGTGTGCTGATATTGTTTTGATTGAACAATCTTCAATAGTTGCACAGTTTGCCGTTCCGTCTAATGCGTCACTCAGGGAGGAAACTGGAACGGCTTGTTATT